CTCTCGTCTCCTTCCGTGCCCCACGAGGCTCTCCCCCATCTCCACGGGGGCTGCGTTCTGTGACGGGGCTGCAGGGTGCCTCTCTCTGTGGCTGCTGGGTGCCAGCACCCGCCTTGTGATGCTTCATATACGGTAGCTGCTGCAGGCTCGGTTCCTGTCACACTAGTTCGGGTAGGCAGGAGGCCCAGGGTGACCACAGGTGCCCACCCTGGGCGGACTCTCACTACACAGAGCCACCCGCTCCCAGATATTACTGCAAGCCCCAAAACCAGGTGTGTGCCTGACGCAGCAGGTGCCATGGGGTGACAAGGCCTTTTTGGGGACCGGTGTCACCTTTTATGCGCCAAAGTCACGAGCGCCTCCAGGGCAAAGGGTTTGCCGGGGCTGTGCTCTGCAGAACCCGCTGCTGATCCACGCTGAGCCTGTAGGGGACGATGCTGTCACTTGTGACACCGTGGGCACAGGGCGGATGCCTCTTGCTCTAGTGAAGTGCTGATCAGAGCATGGGGGAGTGCTGGGCTCACCGGGGCTGCAGGGCATTAGCCATGAATGAAGAAGGTGCAAAGGATGGACGGATGGATGAATGGATGGATGGATAAATGTTTTTGGCCAGCTGTTTCATATTACCATCTCCTTACAGCCTGGGAAGAGTGCCGAACGGCGCCGCTCTGCAACGCTGTTTCAGCAAGCTGAACTGTCCCGGGCTCTTGAACCCCAACACTGTGCGTGTTGGCTGCTCAGTGTCAGCGAGGGATGGGCGTGTGAGGATTCGGGGACGGTGCATGATTAACTTGAAAGCTGGCTTTGCCCACAACAACGGAATTTCTGGTCCCTTTTTGGTCCGAAGTGTGTTTGTAGCCTGCAGTTCACAGGACAGGAGGCTGCAGTGAATGTTTAAGATCAGCTGATCAGGAGAACTGACAGAGGAGCTGCTTTCTCAGAGCAGCTGTTGGTGACCAGTCTGGGCTGGGCCAAAGAAATGGTACATGGTGATAGGAAAGCCCAGGATGGGGAGCAGATGGTGCAAGCCCTGCTGTTGCTTGTTGTCGCTCTCCTGAAACAGAGGGCTCTCCTTTGCCCCCAGGCACATGCAGTAGCTAGTGAGTGGAGCAGCTGAGAGCCAAGGTGCTCAGTGTCTGTGGGAGGCCTCATGCAAGGTCTGACCTACCAAAAATACATGTCATTCGGTCCCAGGTGTAACCCAGCAGATCTGCTGAGGTCAGCTGGACTCAGCTGGGGTCAGCACGAAACCTTGGCAAGCGGACACTGATAAAAAGCCCGTCTGTATTTCTTCCTAACCAGAGCCAGTGGCCAGCAGCAAGACAGACTAGTCCAGAGGCGCAATAACATCCCTGGCATGGGCACAGGGAAGTGACACCAGCGAGACAGGGGAAAGGCAAGTCCCAGGAACACCGCACACAGCAGGATCCATGCAAGTCCCAGCAGTGACGCTTTCTTCTGGGTTCTGCCCAGAGGTGTCCCAGGGAGCAGCACCACAGTAAAAGGTCTGCCTTACCTCACCAAAGAAAGCTACAGCTGTGCAGAGCAGCGGGTGAGAAGTCCAGGTGCAGGGAGAGCAGAGGGAATGTCAGGTGAGCTCACAGCCCGAAGTCACCCACAAAAACAGATGTCCTTATGGAAGCATTTGAGCTCACACATAATACATGGGAATGCCCCTGCCTTACCTCGTGCTGCAGCTGGTTTAAGAGGGAGCTCACAACTTTAGCAAAGGTGCTGACAGCAGCTGCCTCCATCTTCAGGGTCTGCAGGCTTGGTCTGGGAATATGCACGAGTGAAGGGCCCTGAAAGAAGCAGAGGGCTATGACCAGTTCTGCTGGCCTCAGGTACGGGCTTCACTTAGGGGCAAATGTCTCGCAAGCGGGGGGAAACATCTCCCATCAGCCTGGCCTACGTGTCAGCAGCTGCTGCGGTACCGGAGGGAATTTCTTCTGTCCACTGGGCACAGCAGAGAGGTGCCCTTTGGAGAGAAAGACACGGAGGCTGCCAAGTCCAGCGCAAGGCTGCTGAGGTGTCTGCAGCTGCACGAGGTGCTGCAGGGAACACTGGGTTTGGACAGCCTGGAGAAGGGGCCATGGGGAGCAGCAAGGCCCTGCAGCCACCTGTGATCCCTGTGGAGCAGATCCCTGCCACCGGCATGCGTGAGACCCAGGCCCTCACCAGGAACAAGCGGCTGGCGGGAGGGGACCATACACAGCTGCAAGCAGGGGATGTCTAGCTGCCCTAAATAGCAGCATTTCCCAGTTCTTCAGCACTTACATTCACTGGTATTCCTCGAGTGGTTTGGAATAGCATTTCCCTGCCCTGGAGAGGGAATGAAGCGTTCCTCGCACGCTGCAGAAGAGCAGCCTCCTCAGCAGGGCGCCAGCCCCAAGCTGCCCATGAGCTCCCTGAGCCGCCCTAGAGCGTCAGCTCCTTCGGAAAACGCTGCTCCAAGAGGGCAGAAACACCAACGGGCCTGGCAGGGTTTCAGTGTCCAGGCAAACACATGGTGGCCAGAGACTCCTGGGGCTCAGGGCTGCTTTGGGCGATGTTGATGTGTAGGTATCGTCCTACACAAGCCAAGCCCATTTCCTCCATGCTTTTTTTTTTTTTTTCCCAGATAATATAGCACTGTGATTGAATGTCTCAGACACCATAAGCAGCCAAAATTGCCTTGTGTGTCAGGAGCAGAAATGCAGAAGAGAGGCAGGAAATCTTTACCTTCAGCAGCCCGGACAGCTGGCTTGCTTGCTTCCTTCTACTTCCCTCTGACATGAATGTTTTCTGTCCTTTCAACTGATAAGATTATAGTCGAGCAAAGTTCGATTACAGGAGACCCAGGTCCTTGCAGGGTGGCAGCTGGAGGCTGGACATGATGCCCCACAGAGCCTGCAACAACACCAAGTGATTGGCAGGTACGTTTAGCAGCTCCATTCCTGCCCTACTGTCTGCCCTGTAAAAGCTCTTGAACATCATGTCAAAAAAAAAAAAAAATTCAGATCCCTTGAAATGTAAAATAAAACAGGTATACCGGAATTTGCTAAGGACAAATATATTTCCTTGCCACAGCTGGAAATGCATGTTTAGGCAACTGGAAGCATAGCTAGCAATGTAAGCACAATTTAAAGTGCAACATCAAAGAGCAAAGGAAAGTTGGGCCTCGGCAGCCCAATTTCAGAGCTGTTCCACCCTTTCTGCTATTCAGGAAAAGCTTCTCTCACCAACAGGTTGCCTGGGGCACGAACAGTAGGATACGTCAAACCAGAAGCCTGATTAAAACCAATTCTTCAAAAATAAGGAGATTCTCCACAGCGTCTGCTATCAATAATTCTCTGTAATTATTACGGTAGGAAGAGCAATATAAAAAGCTTACCTGTATACAAAAGAAAAAAAGACTTTTGTCTGCATTAGATTCCCCTATTCCCTTCCACATCTGTGCGAATGTAACAGCAAACCTAGAACAGAAAAGTGCAAAAACAAATCTTAATGCACTTTCATGAGATGCCTTCCTCCCCTTCTTTGAAACATTAGCCTATGTGCCGTTTTTTGGTTGGATTTCTTTTGTTTAGTGGTGCTTAATGAACACATGATGTGCAGTAATCCAGTCTCCTGAGGGAAGCTACGCACACACTGTTTTTTACAAGTTTTGCAGCAAACGCAGTGTGTGTATACTTTCTCCAAATAACAAAGGGGAATTTTGGTAACTAATGGGATGGCACTTGTTAAAGCTGCCTTGTAAGCACAAATGGCAAACAAAAACAGAAAGAAAAAAATAGAAAAGCTTACTTTTTCTATTAATTCCTTAATTCATAGCATAGCCACACAAATAACTGCACTGGCATTCAGTACAACTGAAGAAGCGAGAAATTCCAAACCTGGCGGTGGAAATATCATCCGCGTCTGCACAGAAACTCTCAGAAATGGATTTAACACTGGTTGTTTTTCCATCTTTTTTTTTTTGGGGGGGGGAGGGCGGGAGGTGGGACCGGCATCTCCCTTTGCCCTCCGTGTGCTCTTATCTCCCCGCGACCACTTAGTCCCAGATTCCCTGTCCTCCCATCCCACCCCATGTCAAGCAATGGTCCTTTGTGCCACGGGAACTGGGGAATGGGAACCCGCAATGGAGGTTCACTATCGAGTAAGTGTCTTTAAAAGGAGTGTAAATCAAATGGATTATTGCTCTGCCTGAACTGAAGCCCCCAGCTCCCCCAGTGGTCCAAAACAGCCGCTACGGGAGGCGACCCCAACCCTCAGCTCC